TTCTACTGACCTGAGATGTGGGAGGAGCATTGCACCACCGACCCACCTGTTGACTGAGCTGCTCTGCCAACACACCTCCACTGTAAACTCGTAATCCACTGTTCACACCACGATACGAGGCGTTTCACGTCTGCGGAGGCTCGTAAATTCCTTCTGCTCACTGTCTTGGCCCACATATGACCCTGGACCGTCTGGGTACCTGGAGTAACCTCCTCTCATGTGCATTTAGTCAAACACATAAATACACAGTTATACTGTCTGTGCACACATAATGTACAGCTACAGTACGGCCACACACACACACACACACACACACACACACACACAGTGGTGGAGAGTAGGAACATTTACTCAAGTATTGCACTGTAAATACAGTTTTGACTTTTAGGCTCCTTTCACTCTTCTTTTCATGCTGAACGTTTCATTTTCAAGTTTTCGACTCTTCTTACTCTCATTGCTTCTGTTTAGTATCTTTATGTGTCATCATCTCAGCTCTGGTGGCTGCTCCCTTCATCTCACCATGATCTTTACACTACAGCCTCCTGTCTAATCTTTTCTCCATGTCTGCATGTTTGTCACTTCACCATATGATCTTTACACTACAGCCTCCTGTCTCCTCCTTTCTCCATGTCTGCATGTTTCTCTCTTCACCAGCTGCCTGTCCATCACACTGATGCTGAGGTGATGGCTTAGAAGACGAGGACAGTAGAGACACAGGGCAGAGCTGGACAGCGAGCTCCTTCATCCCACTGTGAGGCACAAAGGGCCCAGAGACGGGGCCCTCAACCACATGAAGACGGATATGAACCTGCAAGAGAAAGGTCGCGGGCCCCTGTATAACACTGCTCCGTACACACACACGTGCACAGGTGTTTTCCCTGAGGATTCTACTGTTATTCTAATCGTGCTATCCTAAAGCCTACAGTAAATTCTAGAAAACCCTTCTCTTACATAAACACAGCACTGACCTTAACCCTTTCACCCTTAAGGATGACGGACTGTCTGTGCTTTGTGGTGACGTCGCACAGAGTTTAAAGTGACTGCGCTCTTGTCTGGATGTGACACAGTGGAGGGGTTTGAGGGTCTGAATGAAGAACCACAGTGTTTTCTTACAGGAACGGAACAATGGGCTCTTTCATACGACTTCTCATCAGGACGGAGGGAAACCGTGGCGGGCGTCAGTGTTTTGGGTACGAGAATCTCTCTGAAGTTTCTCCCACATGACAGAGATTAGGAGCCCAGAGACAGCCTGGTCTGTTTCCACCCATCTCCTTCCTCCGCTGTCACACGTTTGTTTTGTTAATGAGGAAGAGGAGAGGAAGGGAGAAAGAGCACAGGAAGAGACACACACTGTTCTGCCCCCCTCAGAGCATCAGCCACATGAGAGGAAGGTAAAGGCCTCCCTACGCGTCCTCACATCGTCCTGCAGTCTGGGTGGAGGGTCGGCCGGACCGGTTACTGGGTGATTATGCAACAGTGAAGCCAGAGTGAAAAGTGACTCCTTCACTTTTTTGTTTTGTTTGAATCCCAGCTCACAAAGAACTCTGCATGTTCTCCTCCAGTAACTAAAGTGTCAGAGCTCCACAGGTAGGGTTAGGGTTAGCGTTAGGGTTACCCGCACAGAGGCTTCTGTTTCACTCCTGCTTCTGCTGAAGCAACCTTTTAAACTAGAAGATTATTTTCATTTGTTCTACTGTGATTTCAGTGACTGTGTCGGGCTCTGACTGTTAGAACTAGGATGACCTACACAGCGATACTGTACCTGAACGCATCATGAGGACTGCTGGTGCACAACTGATGCAGCCTGTGTGAACACAATGTTAATCCTTATGCTAATCCAGTGTCCGGCAGCAGAACCAAGCCGACTTCATCTGACTCGTTTCTACACTTTGTTCCTTCTGTATGTTTGATCATTTACAGTTTTGGCTAATTAAGTCTGTGATCAGAAGCAGAACCAGAAGCTTTTTGTTCCAACCAAATGAAGCAGGAGATGATCACACACACGTGACGGCTCTATAATGAACCCACATCTTTTCATCCCTGGCATTCTTCTCATTCCTAACATGGCTCCTTGTCATAAGTGCAGACGTTATAGGAGGAAGGTCTTTCTTCAGTCTGAGCTGTTGTTTGCAGAGCAGCTACACTTCAGATTTCATTTTGTGTGTCTGTGGGTTCGTGCAACACAAACACAAGATCTCAGTTTATTTTTGTGAAGGTGAATCATTGGTCTCAGATCACTTTCTCCCGACTTGGCAGTTTTTTAAAATAAGATTCAAACCTGACAATCCCACAAATTATGATGCAGTGATCGGTCACGTTTACAGGTGTGAAACTAGTTCTCTGGTAAGATTTTTATTCCATCTCTACTGTTTCTGCTGAACAGAACGTAAGGTGTTCGTGCCACTATCACATCTCCTCCATCCTGTGCTGTCCTGTGACTTATTGCAGTTAAAGCAAAGTAACAAAGTGCTGTTCATTCACACACACACTCAGATTACACTTCAGCTTCCATCTGTTCACACATTAAGTTGGAATCTGGTTTTCAAAGGATCAAATGGGAAGCAGAGTTTCACTGCTGCTTTCTCTCACAACACCAGAAAAACATCCTCCAGGTCTCTGCAAGTACCCGATCACGCTACAGATCCTTACACATCCTTTGAGGTATTCACAGCTTACTTTTGCTCTTGGTTGTTTTATCCTATCACACTGTACAAACAGTACAAGTCTCAGTTGGCTTCATAGGTCAGTGCCACTCTGCTGTTGCTCTTTATCAGCACTAATATTCTCACAAATGCAAAGTTTTTCTTCAGAACTTTAACAAATACTTCATTTAAACAATGACAAGGCATCATTTTTGTGCCTACCTGCCTCCTGGACGTCACAGGTCAGGTCAGAGCAGCATCTCAGCATCAGGGACCCTTCAGACCGACGATGTCTGCAGCACTGGGGCTTGAATCCAGCTCTGCTGATGAAGAGGCTCACAAACCACAAGTGGACCCAACAGTGTCTGTAGACAGATGTCAGGGACACTAATGTTCTTTGTTCATGGAAAATTAACAACAAAGACTCTGTTCTCCGAGTTTTTAGACAGACCAAGTGTTTCTGAAGAACTCAGATGTTAATTATTCTTCATGAGCTGGTTTCATTCACTGGGAAATACACTCAGCTTATTCAGAAGGCTGCAGTGTGAACAGGTCCAATTTATTGATTTATATTGACAAGTGATATTGTTAACAGTGTGAAGTTGTTGTACCACTGTGGAAGACGAGGAAGGAGACGAGTGGACCAGGGGTTGAACTTCGATAGTGTAGGTCAGGATGCACATTTCACCATTCCTATGCCTGCTTGATAAAATCTTAGAAAATGTATCATCTTTGTTGTTGATATTTTAGTCTATTGATGCCTGCATGTACAACACTTTCTTGTGATAAGTCATGTCTGAAGAAACAACTTTCTAATGTAAAAGAGAAGCATAAGAATATTATTTGTATCAGAAAAGAACCAGCACCATCAGCCCTTTGTGTTAAGACTGATCCAGGAGGCTGGCATCACTGTTTCCTACATTCAGGACTGAATCATGTGTGATTCTGTGATAAGAGTCTTTGTCTAAAGTTTGGTCCGGTTTAGACTCTAAACTGGCCGCTGACAGCTACTCTGTATTGTTGAAACACGTGTTCCCAGACTGTTTTCATAGAGACTCGATCTCCAGTGAAACAACAGAAAAACTAAAACAACATTCTTCTTCACGCTCTTTATAGCTGACGGTGCATCACACCTGGAAACCAGTGGTTCAGGTTCAGACAGGTTGGATGAGTAAAGTGTTATTTTATGACAACAGCTGTGCTGAACCACGATCGTGAACTAACTCTGCATGAACAAGTGGAAGTTGGCTCTGGTGAACTCCTGGTGGATGGTCTCTAACAGCACGTCGTCCTCCTGCTCTCTGTCCATCCCTGCTTCTCTCATGCCTCCTGCTGCTGCTCGGGTAGACGGAGGCGGCTGGAGCTCAGGGCTGTAGGTGAAACTGAAGGGTGTGCGATAAATCAGACCGTCCAGTCGGACGAGGGACAGTGGGACGGTGATGATACGACGCAGACAGCGCCAGCTATCACTGAAGATGGAGACGTCAGGAACGACACAGAGGAGAGACTTGGGAGACCTGAGGAAGAAACAAGACGAGAGTGGGACATCAACTTTCATCAGCTGGGCCAGGTCCAGATCAGACCGGCAGCATCACAGCTTTAAAGTTTGGTTATCTGCTTCACTACAAATAAACCAGTGAATTTTAAAGTCTAACTGAAAATTAACCCGTTAACGTTGACGATTACAAGATAATGCACCAGACTAAACAGGAATCCAAGGCTGATATGAGACGCTGGTGCCCAGCAGACATGTTGGAGGGCCCTTCATTCAGCCCCATCCTGGAGCTCTGGCAGTGGGGGATCATGTTCGTGACTTGCTGCAGGTTCTTGCACAACCAGCACATTGTGTTGTAGGAACAGGGGCTTCCTCTGTGCCGCACAGCCGCTGCTGGTGGCAGGAATATTTGCAGAGGCTCGTGGCGAGCCGCGCTCCATCACAGACCCTGACTGATGAGACCTCAGTGCTTCAGGTGTGGGCTCCGAGCTGGACTCTGACACCAGAGGGGCTGTTTTTCCTCACTGTGCGTCACATGAGATTCTGTGAGGGGAAGTTTCTGCCCCTCGGTGAGTCACAGAGTGGCACACAGGAGCTAGAGAGAGGATTGTTCCTGGTGAGGGCTCAGTTTCACATAAGCCCCTTTGTACGTCGTAGCTCCAGTCTTGGCCTGGCCTCTCAAAACGGATGAATACAGGTAAAGATTTTAAGCCAAACATGAAAATGAAACTGCCCATCTTCTCCTCTGAGTCTTGACCTGAACAAATGAGTTTTTCTCAAAATGAATCAAACACAAAACAGAACAAAGAAATGAAAAAGGAACAAGGTCAAAGGTCAAAAACACATTTTAGGAAAATATTCCACAGTCTGAGAAACACTGGTGTCAGTACAGTAAATATGAAGCCACAGCAGGACAAAGGTTTGATCTTCAAAACCTGGAACTTACACTATGAAGACTGGGACAACTGACCGAATATAAAACTAAACCTCCTGCTTATCTGCCAACATGGAGTAGGGGCTTGGAAGTTAATAAAGACACTTTCATACAGGTAGATAACTAAATAAAATAAAAGCAGAGGGACAGCCTTTCTCCACTCTGGTTTGTGTACAGTTTAAATGAGACAGTGCACCACAGTAACGGAGCAGCTGTTTTTCAGTTTCCAGTCTTTGTACTAAGCGAACGGCTGCAGCTACGTATTTAGTGAACAGATATAACAGGTGATGAGCTCCGTCCTTTCTCCTTTTCATCTCCCTATGAACCTTCTCACTGATCGACCAATTCTCTTCCTTCCTGTTTGTCTCTCTCCATTTTACCTGTCCACACTCTGTTCACTATACCACATCTCCTCTTCTGCTCTCGCACGCTGTCTGTTAACTCACTTAAACATGGTCTCGGCTTCGCTGTGTCCAAACCAGACTTTGAGATGAGGGCTGAAGTTTTCTCCGTGAATCTCCAGCATGGCAACATGTCCTCCACCGTTCACCTGCAGCAACACACACAGGTTTATCACCACCCTGCCCACACGGCCACATCCCAGAACTATTTGTTGCAATAAATTTGTAAGTGTGTGGCGGAGACAGTCCTCTCAGCTGATGGCCGTTGGGTTCTGACAGCAGGAGTCAGACTGATGCTTCATCTCTCAACTTCTGATCTAGTTTCTCACCTAGCAACAATTTTATCTGTGCTTTCTGTTTGTCTTCTGTCCTTCTTCTGTTTTAAACTAAACTTGATTTACAACCAAACAGGAAACCACACAGACAGACTCTCGTGTCTGCTGCTCACACTCACCTCTAACCCTGTGATGGCTGGAAACGGACTGACTGGTGTCTGGATGCAGGTCACCCCCTGATTGAAGGTGAACTCTACTGCTTCCACCCCGATGATGGTCCAACAGGCTCCGTCGTTCAGCACCACTCTACTGGGGTCTCTGATGCTGGGCGAAGCCTGGAGGGAAGGAAAGGACGGGGGGGACAGAGGAAGACGGTTACTGCCAGCGGGAAAGAATGAGGAGACGAGGAAACAGGACAGACAGAGGCAGAGAGCGAGGCTGCCTGACCTGGTACTGTATGATGGTGTCACTGGACAAACACAGGTAGGCGTGTGGATCGTCTCTGAACTGGAAGGCACATTTGTGGAGCTGAGAAACCGGCTCGTCCACATCTAAGATGGCGTGCTGCTTGTTCACCTTACGAATCACCTGGTGGCACCAACAAGACGAGGGAAACAACACAATCATCAAAGGTCTCAGGAACAAACCTGCAATTATTGCTGCTCTCTAGGGTCCAGGGATGTCCAGAGCAAAGCGTTACTGTCGGCTTGTTCCTGTTAAATCTTAGTTTAGCCTGTCGCTACGCTAACATTTACTGTTTGGTACTAAACACAAAGAACTGATAAGTACAATATGTTGTCATTCATTTTGCAGGTGTTTGGTCAGAAACCAAAACACCAGACAAATAAAAATAAAAAGCTGATGATGGTGTGAGAAAGTCAGAGAATCATCATGAATGTCCAAACTTTAATGCCAATCCATGAAGTTTCTGAGATACTGAGACAGGAACATGGCTTAAAGGGCCAATCTGCTGTTACAGGGATGTTTCAGGTGCTTTTTGTTCGGATTAAAAGATGGAATACGAAGACAGGAAACGAGGAGGGATATGGCTACAACATCCAGTGAAGGTTCACCGCAGGAATCAGGACATTACAGTTCTACACTGTACACGTTACACATTCAGCTAAGTGGAGTCATTTATTGGGCCTGAAAAACTTTGAAAAAACATCAGTCTCTTAACAACAGGACTCACTGCACCAAGTCTGCACTTGCACCATCAACCAAATTAAAAATGTATGCAAAGTGACTGCTACATTAACTCATTACATGCCAAGACGTGTATCTTCCTTCTAAGAAACATGCAACATACTGTAAGAATGTAAGAATACAGTAGGAATGAAGTTTATTTTCATCAGAGCTGCGTCTGACTGACAAACTACTGACAGTGTAACACAACTTCTCGAGGTCCTGACGGCAACAACAAAGATTAAAAACAAAGGAAAACTGAATGTCATGGTGTGACTTTCTACAAGAACAAAGCTTCAAGTTGTTTAAGGTCAACACTGAGGAAGCTTTAAATCAAATCTAACACTGCTGTCTGAGGTAGAGATCAGCCAGGTGGTCTCAGTGAAATAGTGCTGGTGTTTCCAGGCCTTGTGCCGCAACCTAAACGTGGCCACGCTCCGACACATCCTGTACTGCACCACACACCCTGTATTTAAGTCTCTGCTCAGCTGCTGATCCAGCTGAACCGTTCGGTCTGTATATCCACCACCACCTCCTCAGTCCCTGAACATCGACCACAACCAAACAAGAGAACTAAGCTGCTCGTCAGTCAAGGAAAACGTTCATGAATGTCCAAACTTTAATGCCAATCCATGAAGTTTCTGAGATACTGAGACAGGAACATGGTTTAAAGGGCCAATCTGCTGTTACAGGGATGTTTCAGGTGTTTTTTGTTCAGATTAAAGGATGGAATATGAAGACAAGAAACGAGGAGGGATATGGCTACAACATCCAGTGAAGGTTCACCGCAGGAATCAGGACATTACAGTTCTACACTGTACACGTTACACATTCAGCTAAGTGGAGTCATTTATTGGGCCTGAAAAACTTTGAAAAACCTTCAGTCTCTTAACAACAGGACTCACTGCACCAAGTCTGCACTTGCACCACCAACCAAATTAAAAATGTATGCAAAGTGACTGCTACATTAACTCATTACATGCCAAGACGTGTATCTTCCTTCTAAGAAACATGCAACATACTGTAAGAATGTAAGAATACAGTAGGAATGAAGTTTATTTTCATCAGAGCTGCGTCTGACTGACAAACTACTGACAGTGTAACACAACTTCTCGAGGTCCTGACGGCAACAACAAAGATTAAAAACAAAGGAAAACTGAATGTCATGGTGTGACTTTCTACAAGAACAAAGCTTCAAGTTGTTTAAGGTCAACACTGAGGAAGCTAACACTGCTGTCTGAGGTAGAGATCAGCCAGGTGGTCTCAGTGAAATAGTGCTGGTGTTTCCAGGCCTTGTGCCGCAACCTAAACGTGGCCACGCTCCGACACATCCTGTACTGCACCACACACCCTGTATTTAAGTCTCTGCTCAGCTGCTGATCCAGCTGAACCGTTCGGTCTGTACATCCACCACCACCTCCTCAGTCCCTGAACATCGACCACAACCAAACAAGAGAACTAAGCTGCTCGTCAGTCAAGGAAAACGTCTTCAAACAAATCAAGCAGCGAGAAACATGCACAGAGTGTGCAGATCTACCATCAAACTGCTGAGGGTGCAGAGGAAAGGTCTGCTCAGCAAAATGTGAGGGGGGCCGCTGGGAACTTTGTCTAGGTGTTAAAGTGGACGAGGGTTCAACAGTAGTAGCATTTGTGGGATTAGCAGCTGCACAGACACACACCTGTAAGAAACACAGGACCGGAGCTGGGATTATTCCTAAAGCTGTGAGCAGCGTTTCACTCTCATGTGGTCACACACAGACATACATGGCTTGTTTCTGATTAAAGGTCTCAGCAGCAGCACAAGTTGTTTTACTTTTGATTGGGAAAATCCCTTTCCTGCGTCAGTGCTGCTGGATTAACCGATATCACAGGATTTCTGTTCCCGTTCTGATGAATCCCAGTCAACATTACACTAGTCCTCTGTGGTCGGATCGTACGTCCTCAGTAAAGCAGCAGGTCTTCTAAACTGAAATTCTGACCTGATGATGGCACCAGATGAAAAGTCAGAGGATCATCAAAGTTATTAAAACTGATCCTGAAGGAAACATGAATTTCATGGCAACCCACAACAGCTACTGAGATCTACTTCAGACTGGAAAGATCATCTGACCACGGCTTAAAAAGTCTGAAAGGACGAACACGGCTCAGACATCGTTGAGAGTAACATGATTCTTATCACTGGAGAATGGAGTTTTACACTGCCTGTTCACACATTATCAAGTCTGAACTAGTGTGAACAGGCAGTGATGGCGCTGTTAGCAGCTCGGTGGTCAGTGTGTGAGCATATACTGTACATGTACTGTACATACAACATGTATGCACACAATACTATGTAGTGAATATAACACAGCGTAGACTGCAGAGTGTGTGTGTGTGTTACCATGGGTGGCAGAGCTACTTCGGACTCGGTACACACCAACTGGACCACACAACCATAACAGATGAAGCCTTCACTCAGCACAAAGTCGCCTCGGTCGGCACGCTGCTCCTCCACTACAAACACAAACCCATGTGTGAATATTAACAGATGTATTTCCACTGTAACAGTTTGTAGTGTGGATCTCTCCACAGAAAGTTGTCAGACTCAGTAAAGTTGGTTTCACATCATTTTTTGGTGAATAAGATGAATTCAGACAAAAATAAAGTGTGTGTGGTTTGTAGTAGAGAGGACAGAGAGAACACAGTGACTGAGGCTCAGGTCTTGGTGGTGGGAGGTCTGTGCACGGTGGGCACTGTGCCAAATACACAGCCTCGCAGATCTTTAGACAGGCTTCTTCAGACGTGTGTGAGGGGGACGCCGGTGGAAAACCACTTGCACAGTGACTGTATTTATGGAGGGTGGCCGAGTGGTGAGAGAGGCCGCCTGGTGACGGCCACTGGTCGTCCAGGATTCTCAGTCTTTGACAAAGTCTCGTGCACCAGGGGTACAGTGACGTCACCATCTCCACATGTCTGGTTACAGAGGTAGAGACGACAGATTGATGACTACCATGTTCACAGTTGAAATGACCTGGCTTTAACCCACCGTCTATTTATCCTCTCCTGTTACAAGGCTGGAGTCTGTCCCAACCGTCTCCACTCTATCACAAGGTTCATAATGTCTGATTGTAACAATATGTGTAGGAGACAGGTAATAAAGCTCATTTATATTGTAAGAAATTCACCCAATTAGAGACCGTTTATTGGGGCGAGAGTAGAGGATGCTGAGGATAGAGTTAGGTGGAAACAGATGATTCGCTGTGGCGACCCCTAACAGGAACAGCCGAAAGAAGAAGAAGAAGAGACAGTTTGCTTCTTCATTTGTCCTTTGGGTTAATAAACAGACCATAACGTGATTTTTTTTTACTAACTGTGAATGTAATGCATTTCAAATCATTCACATAAGGAACTAAAAACAGTCCACAGCAGCAGCTCTGTGGAGGCTGGACGTAGCCACAGTGGCTGTTTAGCATGTTAGCATGCTAACATCTGCACTATGTTTGTGCTAAAAATACACTTAAACTGAAGCTGATGGGAACGTCATTAGTTTTACAGTTATTTGAGCCAAAGTACTAGATAAATAAAATGTTAACATGGTGATGGTGCTAGATGAAAAGTCAGACGGTCAAAGTTACAGTTCATCCTGAGAGGAACCTGAATGTCATACTAAAGTTCATGGCATTACATCAAATAGTTGTCGACACATTTCACAGGAAGTGGCAGGTGTCAGCTTTTTAGAAGTGTTGGGGAAATATGAGTGGATCAGCATACTCAGTAGGGTTCATCCTCTGGGGATCATGAACTTTTCATCTCCACCCGTCCAGTAGTCAGAGAGACCAAAGAGGTCGACCAACCGTCCGGTCGACCCCGGCCCCCCAACAGCTGTGCTGCTCATGGCTTGGAAAAGATGTATTTTATGGGAAACTCGACTGTATTAAACATTTTTGAACCTCCGTTTCTGATGAAAGTCAAACCAGGCAGAGACTGACACAAAATGACCTTCACAGTACATGAGGCATACATCTGTGCATGACACTGTGCACATGCAGTAAACACACAGCTCACACACATTTACCCATGGTGATGGTGAAGGCTGTCCACTGTCTGGCGCTGGCTACGAAGGCTCCTCTGTCCACAGAGAGGTAACGTGTGCTGACTGTCTGTGAGCGTAAGCGGTTGAACAAAGCTACTCTGGAGCACGAAGAGATGCACACTGAAACACAAACACAAAGAGAAGCACAGTCTCACTGTACAACACAGCAAAGGAACTTACAGCAGCAACTTTGTGCCTGCAGACATTTATTGGTTAAGGTATCACTGTGAGGACCCAGACCGATGCATTAATGCATCCCTTAGTCCCTTACTCTGAACCTAACCTAAACCTGATTCTAACGTGAGTCCTAAAACCAGGTCTGAACCCTCAAACAGCCCAACGAGTCCTCACAGTGACCAGAGACAGACATGTCACGACGGTGGTCCTGAGCAGACAGATGAAGCATCAGTCTCCCACAGAAACCTGAAGGATCTGACATCACCTGATCCAACACCTCAGCTGTCAGGATGTGATATGACTGACCCAGGGCCCTGCTGTGACAGTACAGGGAATCATCGTATGATGCCACCGACAGTCAGTCAAACCTGGGTCCAGACTCTTGTACAATATGTAGGATGTTAGAAACTAAAGTAGTTTGTCACAGCACAGGCAAACTACTGAGGCATAAGACTCTTTACAAAACATCATTTACTAAAATGACTGAAACACTAAAGTGTGTACGCGATAGTTTGTGTATTTGTAGCCGTGTCCAACACAAAAACAGCACATAAATGACCAATCTTAAATTAAAATGTTTATATTTTATTCTTCCTCACTGATTTAAACTCAGTGTAAAAACTGTTTTGTTGAATTGAACAAAAAGGCAGAGAATTTAAAAATGTTTGTAAATGTGACTCACAGTCTGCATTTTTCATCGACTGCCTCTTCTGCGAGGGTTTGGAGATGACTTTGATCATTCTGCTCTGGAAGGACCCCACTTCCTGTCGGCTGCCCAGGAAGAGCTGCAGCAACAGGCGGAAGTGCTTCCTCTTGTCCTGATCAGAGATGAACAGGGACTTGGCGCAGGCAAACATTTTCTGCAGAGACAGAGGCAGAGGCTGGGACAGGGAGCAGGGCGGCACTGAGCACAACTGTAGCACATTTACAGTGTTTAATCCAAGATGCACTGAACAGGCAGAAGATGAAAAGTCTTCTGGAACATAAACTGATGCAGGGCGTCTGTTTCTTGTGTTTTGTCTCAGTAAATAAATGAGAGAGCTAAAGACGCACACAGTGTGTTTACAGCGGAGCTGTTTCCCTGTCAGACGTAGCTGTTTGTCAAGTCAATGCTTGTCAGTATGAAAACCCACAGGGCTGATCATCACTCGCTCATCCACAGCTGGACATTCGGCTTTGAGACCACTAATCAACATGAAGCAAAGCTTTGTTCAGATTTATTACTAGCACTGGTCTGGTTGTAGAAGTAAAGCCTTTGGGAGAATAAAGGGTGACTTTTAATTTTAGGACCACAATGTTATAAACGGCAGTGTCTCTTAAGAGCTTGCTTTTATTTACTGGTACATCTCATTCGGGTCACACACACGTGGCAATCAGTCGTCACGGTCAGTCAAAATAAACTGTTTAGAAGAATCTTTCTGAGAACTGGATGTGAAGATGCAAGGTACCGGTACTCTGTCAAGTGTCTGTTGGATGGTTGAACAGCTTTGGAAGCCCCCTGCCAATACTGCTGTCAGTGAGATGTCGAGGGAGATTCAGACACTGTTCATCCATTCAACAGGCACTTTGCTTGAAGCACATTCCTTCTGGTGGAGCATCGTGGTGGACAGTTTTGCCCTTCTGTAGCTGCTGAAAACCCTCAGACCAACCAGAGGTGGGAGCAGAAAGTTGGAGCAATGAAAAGATCTTTTATCAATAACGTTTGTTTTCAAAGTGAATCATTTAATATTGGTTTGTGCTGATAAAGTGTGATAATTATAACCGTTACATTCTACAAAGCTATGACCATTTTATTAGCAATCTGCTTTTATCCACTACCTGGGGCTATGAGAAGGATTATGGACGTATGTACTGTGGACATCCTGCTGCTTGGACAGAACCTTAGAGGACAGTTTAGCCAGTTTAAACTGAACACGATGTTTCTGTCATTGGACTGACTGAGGTCTGTGTCGAGGGAAACAGCTCAGCAAACAGTAGAAAAGTCCGTCCACAGCATCAGGTCTGATAAATCTGTTCTCCACAGTTTCTCACCCCAGAGTCTGGTTGTTCGTCGAAAATCAATTTGTACGCGTCGGCCTGAGACTGACTGGAGCTGTCCAGACACATGTAGCCACACAGTCGATGCATGGAGTCTCCATAACCGGACGCTAGAGAGAGACAACATGAGGAGACAGGTGATGGGAGAAGGAGAAGAAAGAACAACAATAAAACAGGAGGAAGAAAAGAAAACAAGAGAGAAAGGAACAGAGATGAGCTCATGAGCTGAGCAGTGGTTTGTGCTTGTTGAGTTTTGATTCTTGTCTTTTGACTATGCTTCTCTCTTCACCTTTCAGATGGTCCTGCATGACTCTCCAACCATGGCCGCTGATGTTTACACAAGGAGGAGGGCAGAAGAACCTGCCGGTGATGTTACAGTGCAGATTTAAACTGCAGAATTAAAAAGGCTGTTCTGATCAACCTTTCTGGACTTTTCATTAAAAACACAGATGATCAAAATCTGTCACATGTATTAGCTGTTAAAAGCAGGTTGCTGGACGTTACAGAAAAGGCAAATGATTCAGATGCTGTTATATACTGAATATCAGCTAGACATGAAACGAGTAGATGAATAATCATTGAGCTGATCAACAGAAAATTGATCAGCAAGCTTAATAATCAACAACTGTTTAAGTACAAATGTCCAACATTACCCTGATTCAGTTTAAAATATGTGAGGACACATTGCTTTACTTTATGTGTTGGTAAATTAAACATGGTTGGGTTTGGAAAAAACAAGCAACCTGTACATGTCAAGGTGAGCTTCAGGAAATTCATCGCTAATTAGTTTCCTATAGATCAAATAATCAATGAATTAAGTGAGAAACAAGCTACTATTAAAAGTAACTGTTAGCTGCAGCCCTAATAGCAGCTTACTGCCCACTACATTGAAAGAGCTGAACAGGCAGCGGGGCAGACTTTATGACTATCTGTGCTTTGGCTGCGTGTTTATTCAGCCGACTGTTCCTCCAGAGGAGCGTCACCTCTTCTCGTTGCCATAGGACTTCTGGGCCACCCTGGCGTGCAGGATGATAATGCTCTGGTCTGCGTGAGCGTCCCTTCCTGGTTCCCTGGTTGCTCCCAGTAACTGACAACCTTGGAAACACAGGTTCTTTCTCCTGAATGGACAAGAACTCTGTCAGTGATTAACAGCCAGAACATAGATAAACCTGATAATGTCACTGGAGGAAAAGTAATGGTTATTACAGTTCATCCTGAGGGGCACATGAATGTTATCACCCTGTTAAATGCCCATTATCAGTTATTATTACATCTAGAATTATGGTTGAGAAGGGAATACTGCACCTAGCACTAGGCCAAAAGGTGCACACTATATAATTATGCGCCCTCTAGTGGCCAGTGTAGTTAGGACAGGTGAAAGAGCTCTTGTCAGTGACGTCATATAAAGAATCCAGGTGGGGAGGAGGTTGGGATGGATGGTGGAGACAAAACAGGAGACAGTTGTTTGTTTCCTGTCTCAAATCTTGAGTCACTGTTGTTACTTTAGTGAGTCGTTATTTAACCCAAACCACCATTGTTCCCTAAACCTGATGAAGCTGTTTTAAACATGTGTGCTTACAGACAGTGGTAGTGGCTGAAACTTGTAACAACAAGCTGTTTGTTTGTTAGTTAGCACAATTCAACAGGCATCTGGGCTGTAAATATGGATGAGAGGGAAGTTGCTTTGGAGAAGGTATTCGAAAACCAAAGACAGGCTGATGGTAGGTGTTACAGGGTGGTGAACCATCTACCCAGGTGCAGTGTGATGTTGGTGGTTCAAGTCCAGTTGCTGACCTTTGTCTCACGTCATCTTTTCTGTCTCTCTTGTTTCCTGTCTGCCCCTCTGTGGCTAATAAAAATATGCCTGGGGGAAAAGCCTCACACAACAGCACATGAATCAGACAGATTGGGGCTGTTTTGCTCATGTATGAGGGGGATCCTGCGGACCCTTTACATCTCTACACAGTTGATGGATGCGCGGGGTCACACGTGACTGGCTGTGTGTGTGTGTGCTGTCAGTCACCAGGCTGCCAGCAATAGTCTAAATTAGACTCCTCACCTCTTCAATCTTATTAGCTCTACTGCAAACCAATTTGGGTTTAAAACTAGCCATGGCACTGACATGTGTATATTTGCCCTAAAAGAATTAGTCAGTAAATACAAAAGCAAAAACTCCTCAGTATTCATGTGCTTCTTAGATGCCTCCAAAGCTTTTGACCGAGTGAATCACAGGAAATTATTCCAGAAACTGTGTGACGCCCAAGTACCTAAATATATAGTGAGATGTTTGTCATACTGGTATGCCCACCAGACTATGTCTGTTAGATGGGATAACTGTATATCTGCGCCTTTTCAGACCGGTAACGGCGTAAGACAAGGTAGTCTGCTGTCCCCAATTTTGTTTAATTTTTACATGAATGATCTGTCTAAAGAATTAAATATGTACAGAACAGGATGTATGGTCGGTGACAAAGTTGTGAATCATTTAATGTATGCAGACGACCTTGTGATTTTTAGTCCCAGCTCAGCAGGTCTTCAGCAGCTCTTGAACGTGTGCTCAAATTTTGGGGAATGTCAAGATGTCAAGTGTAATGCTGTCAAAAATGTCATTATGATATGCCGTACAAACGAGGACAGGTCCCTTGTATTTCCTTCTTTTAAGTTATCTGATAATATTTTAACTGTGTGCAGTGAAGTTAAGTATTTGGGTCATGTCATTAATGATTGTTTGTCTGATGACGGGGATATATATCGGCAGTGCCGCATGTTATATGTACAAGCTAATATACTGGCACGGAAATTTGGTGCATTGAATGGTTCGTGTCATCTGGAGTTAGTACATTTTCCGCTGTTTTAAGAACCTGATGTTTAAATTTATTTGTCGCCTGAATGGTTCAAAAAATCATATCATTTTATTGTTGACTAATGTTGCACACAGTGACATGTGTTTTACTTCTGTTCTCAGGAAACACTGGTATACCTGTCTTTTAAAGGGGCAGTAGTTTTATGGGGGTTCTTGTGCTCTCGTTTTTATGTATTTTCTGTTTTTATTGTTTAGTTTTTATTGCTTTTATTTGTTTTGAACCTGGAACTTGAGTCTGTAATAAAGTGTCATTCATTCAAAGGTCAAAGGTCAGAGAGTCAGGACCTCAGACACTGTGGCTCTTCTGGTTCACAGTCTGATAGAAACTGCTCCAGTGTGTTGGAGTGGCCAGGTCATAGTTTTCACTTCTTTAAAAGCTCTTGTGTGATTTCTTGAAGTGCCTCCTGTCTGCACAACAAATTTGCTTTCTGGTTTTAAAGGAGACCTTGACCCTTGATGCCCCCGAGCCCGCACCACTTCTCCAAGCTCCTGAGCAAATCCGGATTTCCTCACCCGTTGTTCGTATTTCAAAGAGGGGGGCGGGGTCTCTGCTTTCCCAAATGCTTCTCCTCCTGGTATTTTAATACCTACGCTCCATCCTCCCACCGCCTCATTCCACCAGTAAAACCCAGTAAAGGTCACGGAGCGATCCCACGCCCTGAACGCATTTTCACGTCCAAGCGCTCATTCCTCACATCACAGCGAGGACTTCTCTGAGCGTGAAGGTTTGGGATACTCACCTTTCTGTACCCGGGACACTGTGGGACTTTTTGCTGGTCTACTGGGTTCCCGGTCTTACCTGTCCCACCCGCCGGCGCCTGGTGCGTCGTGTCCAGACAGCGGCGTCCCCAGGTGAGTTAGCGAGCTGACCGGGTCGGGGCACAGCGGAGGGGGGTGCAACAGAGCGGGGTCTGCCTGGGAGAGTCCTGGCTGGTACATCGATGTGTCTGGCAGGACGAGAAGAAAGGTGACAGACTGTTAGACCGGGGTTAAAGGGCGCTGTCTGTAGCGGGTCCAACAGAAACGGTCAGATATTAACGGGGAAACTAATGATGCACCATTTAAACGACATTTTAATAGAAGCAGTGAGTGTTTGTAGGGTAACAGCTGCATCAGGACTGGGGCTGGATTAAAGTGCACATCACTGAGATCACAACTAGAGCTGCTCAGTGTGACAGGACGCTGGTAGGAGTGAAAAGGTCAGTGAACATTAACCTGGGTTTTCATAATGCCCTCATTGTCCTACCTGGTTCAGCTTCTCCTGCTCTCAACTGTCTTCAGTGATAGTAAACTGATTATCTTTAAAATCAGACTGTTGGTCGGACAAATGATAATTTCACATGATACCTTCGGACTGTGATCAGCATTTGTACGATTCTATGACATTTAACAGACAAAACTATTGGAGCTGCAGCCCTGACTGTCAATAAGTGATTATTACTTTAATTTAATGCTCAACTTGAAAACGTTTTCCAGAGAAATGTTACAACTGTAAGTCTAAAGTTTTGTCTTTTTGGTTTTTGGGGTTGTGTTGATAGTAAATAACCTCAGGACTGTTTGGATTGTTGGGAAGGAGACTTGGTCTGAGTGTGGGCCACAATAAAGTCCGGCTTCCACTGATTTCTTAACGGTTGTGGTGGCGATCAAGAAAAGTGTCCTGCAGGCTTTAGTCCTCTACTTTTACTGAGCATGAAAGTCAGAAACATAGGAGGCAGATAAATGAATGTGAGTGAGTGAAAGGAAGAGAGGGAGTCTGGGTTCACACTGGTTGCCTGGAGGTGATGCTGTGTCAAACCCAGCGTTCAGGGCCAAAGACAGAAGCAGAGAGACAGTTATACTAGTCGAACACACATGCAGTTGGTCAGGTGGTCGGTGAGCCCAGCACCTGGTTTCTCAAACATGTTTGAGAGTCAGGTCAGTCTTCACTCTTTGATTCTGGTGTGAGTCAGTTTTACTGAAATAAAGACTGAACTTATTTTAAATGTAAACACCAACCCAGCCTGCTCCCAGGATAAATCTTGTGCAGAAGCCCCATCTCCCAGCTGAAAAGTGGCACCAAGTGACAAAAGAGGTAAAATATGGCTGATAGCTTGTGGTCGTTAAACTTGGTTTGGGGAAACCTGTCGGAGACACTGTGGCTTTGTTTGGCCACAGAAACACTCTGCAGTACTTGTTGTTTTCTCTGAGGTTTTATGCTATTGGAGGTTTTTTCATATAGTTTTGTGTCGTCGTCGCTGAGTTTGACAGTAAAATGTCCTAATAAGTGTTGATTCTTCCAGGAGCAAACATTTGTGTCAACCATGTTATTTTAGTCCTAATTTACATTTAGCTCTGACCTGATCCGTGTCTCTGTGAAAGCAGCCACAGGTACAGAGTCAGCTACACAGACAGATAATCAAACAGGCAAACAGTCAGTCAGTCAGTGAGACAGACAGGAAGGTAGGCAGTAAAACAGCCAGTGAAACAGTAGCAGAGTCGACATCTGGTTCCAATCTACAGCAGCTAACAAGAGGTGCTGTGTCTTCATCTCAGTGTGGGATCCAGCTGTCACTCAACAGAACCGACCACTGGCCCTGCGCCCGCCTTGCTGCGCTGTCTGCTCTGCTCTTTGTCCATCTCCTACCCTGTTCACAAACCTGCCCTCCCAAAACAACTAAATACAGGTGAGCAACAAATTAAAAGAAGAGCCTGAATCACTGAGTGGTCTCTCCAGGACGACAGAACCCCCTCGTCCACAGGACACCAGGGGTCACTGACTGGTCTGATGAGGATGACCATGATGTGAACCAGATGCTGTGGCCTTCCCAGTCACCAGGTCTCAGCCCAGTTGAACAGCTATGGGAGATGTTGGAGCAACGTGCTAGACAGCATCTCCACCACCATCAACATCATAACACCACATGAGGGAACATGTGTCAGAAGAGGAGTGTTCATCCCTCCAGGAGAGTTCAGAGACCTGGAGAGTCAGTGCCAAGGTAGAGCTGTTCTGGTGCACGTGGTGGCCCAGCACCTCACTGGGACTCTGTGTGTGCTGTGTTTATCAGCTCCAACAGCTTCTTATGACCCGTAGTTAGGTTTATTGTTAGGTGACCTCCTAGTAGTTAGAATGGTGGCATAGGAAGAAGTCAGGTGACGCGTAGGGAGGAGGTCGATGTGAAGGAATGGGTTGATAAAACACACGAGCACAGGAAGCAGCTCCTATTTTAACCATGACGATGAAGGTCTAGCACGCCTGCTGCTGTGGAGTCATTACGTCAGCAGATGCTCATCTGGGTCATATCAGGGACAAACCACATCATGTATAAGGCGGTCCAGGTCTAAGGACTTGATGCTTCACCTTTGTGCTGCATTGTTTGTGAACATGCAGTTTCCATTGCTGTGTAATCTCTGAACCACAGAGCTGATGTGTTTTCATCCCAGTGCGAGTCCAGCCTGCCAATCAAACCTTAGAGAAGCCATGTTGTAAATGCAACTCGTACTTCTTCACCTCCTCTGCCTGCCTCCTCCTTTTCCCCTCATCTCACTCTTTCACCTGTGGATGAAGAAGGTCGTCCTCACCAATCAAAATACAAAGGTTTCCCTACTGCACCAGGACGTAGTGTTGAGCATTGTGTCAGTCCTAAAACGATGTTTCTAATCATCTCCCAGTCTGGATCTACAGCTTGTGATCAGTTAAAGAGTTAGTGAGCACTAAACAGGTTTATACAGAATACGCAGCAGTTCATAAGACAACAGGAGGGTACAACCCTGCTAGCAGCTCTGTGACACTGCATTTAGGCCCAGAGTGCTTTGACCTAAATGCTAGCACTAGCATGTTAGATGATGACAATGTTAACACGGGTTAGCAGGTGTCATGTTTGCCACGTTAGCACAATAACATAAGTTAATGGCACTAAACAAAGTTAGTTTTACAGGTATTTTGTGTTGGATGAATAGAAGTTTGTTCTGATGGTGGTGCTAGAGGAAAAGTTAAGGAATCGATCAATAAGCTTCATCCTCTGGGGACCAAGAATGTCTGGACCAAGTGGCGGCTACCGGGGCTGGAGGCTGACACCAGCGTGGAAGCGTCACTGTGCGCTAGTGGCTGCTACAGGCTCCAGCTGAATCAGTGCTGAAGCCCCCAATCTGTACGTTCAGATGTTCAAACAGGACATCACAGATAGGGTCAAGGGTCACTGGTTCTCAACCTCAGGGTCACAACACCCACAGGAGGTCGTGGGATGGTCGTCTGGGGTCATAAGTCGGCTGACTGAATGTGGAAAAAGTAAATAAGACAGAATTACACGAGACTGTTGCATGTGCAACGCAGTGATCGCGACATTTAAGTCCCTTTACTCAAGTACTGTACTCAAGTACAAATTTGAGGTATTTATACTTTGAGTATTTTCTGCTTCTACTACATCTCAGAGACAAATCTTGTACTTTTTACTGCACTACACGTATTTGATAACTTTAGTTCCTTTTCTGAATCAGATGAATAAAACAAAATACAGCATACTCATGTTGTATGGCTTTATTCACCAGCTACCCAGCAGTATGTAAGTACTTCACATTATAAGTATATTAGCTGCAACATTAATCTGATGAACACAATAATAGATCAATAATTATAATCCAATAACATGTATGCAATATTCTGAAAATGAGTTATTCTGCATAATGAGTACTTTTACTTTTGGTACTTCAAGTATACTTGGCTGCTAACACTCTTATACTTTCACTTAAGTAACTTTTTGAATGCAGGTCTTGTAGCAGAGAATTTCTACACTGTGGTACTCCAACTTTTACCTGAGTAAAGAATCCGAGTACTTCTCCACCACTGGCTGAACAATGCCAACAAGCAGCTCTGGGTGGTTTGTCAGACTCTCGGGCCAGAAACAACAGACCCACGGTCACAGACCCTACTGCAGTTTGCTTGGACACAATCAAACCCTTCACAGAGACTGTCCAAGTTTCAAAATGTAGTTCTTCAGAAACCCCGACTTCGTCACCACAGTGTTTCTTATTTGTTGGGCGGTGCTTCATGAGCACACAAACATTCATGCAGACTTAATTTCTGGTTTGCAGCCTTTTGGCAGCTCAGTTGTGTGACAGCACGACACACTAACGTCAGGACACTGCACATGTTTAGTCTCCATTCTGACAGTTTTGTTCACACTTCAGCCACAACAGAATAACGTATCCACAGCTGGTCAAATATTCTCAGACTCTATCTTCCCACAGAAATGCTCACAGATAAGTTTAACGACACTGATTCACTGGCAAAATCAGCTTCCACCCACCTTTGCTGCCATCTTCCACAGTGTCCAGCTCATCCATGGTGGGCGTGGTCTCATCAGGCATTAGGAGCATTAGGAGGGGGCCTTCCTCACGCCCATGGCCACAGCTGAAGCAGCTGTAGGGTTAACTGTGAAAGGGCTGCACAACAATGCCAGAGACATGTGGACTTATTTGTACAAATAACAATGCACAGTTTGCACAGATTATCATGACAAAACAAAATAATGTGCAGTACCAGGTCTGAGTGCTAGGATCAGTTTGGTTCAGCTGGCTTCGTGTCGCAGATTGATGGTCTGTTGAAGTCAGACGCTCCAATGCTGCTGGCGCCGCTGTCTGTGTAAACTCATCCAAAACAACAAACCTGCTAATCGTTTACAGGCCGTGAGAACTTTAACACACCAGTTAATGCATCAGGCTTCATTAGTATTCACTTTCACAGATGGTCGTCCAATGATATAATATCAAATAAGAACAATTATGAACCTCTGTTCGTTGTTCTTGGGCACTGACCTGAAATTAAGTTGCCACCCCGGAGTTTCTCAGATAAGATCCTCCTGTTATTCTTCTCATTCTGGCTTGCTGAGCTGCAGGTTCAGTTTCTGTCCATCCAGATGTTCAGGGTGTTGCCTCACAGACAGTTTCACCATCATCACCGAGGTCAACTGCAAACGTTTCTGAGTTAAAGCTCCATCAGTCAGTTCATCAAGAAAACAAGCAGTCAGCAGAGGGTTTGCACTGCACCTCTCAGTCAGTCTGCAGTCACAGGCGCTTTGGTGGACACAATATTTAAGTGTGTGTGCATGTGTGCACGTTTGCGCTCCATCCCAGATCTGTTATCAGACCGCTGGTCTTGGTGTGTGTGTGTATTTCTCAGTTTGTGTGGATAAGGAGATAACCACCTGTTGCTGGGCTGCAGCTTTCTCACACACACCTGTCTCTTTGCAAACACTGCAGATATGTGCAGACAATTTCTGAAACATTTTGTGTTCACAGGTTATTGGACAAAATTATGGACTAAACCATGTTATTTTTCTTGTGGTTGGCAACCCCCCCTCTCCCCCCACCTTATTCTCATTCATACAGGAAACTATGCAGACAATGCACACGCATAAATACCAGCTCTAAAAATAAAATCACATCCTAAAGCCACTCTTTATTAATCCATGTGACAAGTCACTGCTCAGTGAGTACCAACCAAGTAGTCTTCCCCCATAAAACAGTGATTTCATGCCTATAATTTAGCTTTTCATAAGGCAGGCAGTGAGTTTTGGCGGTGCTGGCAGGCAGAGCCAGCCTGGCCGTTTCCAGTCTCCATGCTAAGCTAACTGGCTGCAGCTTCATAGCTGACAACACGTGTTGCCAATCTTTTCATCTAACTCTCAGCGAGAAAGCAAAGAAGTAAATTTCCTACACCGTTGCACTGTTCCTGTAACTTGCATATAAAGCAATTAGTAAGATCTTAAAAATGCAAGAAACAACAGGTGAGAAAACAGGCAAACTATCACCTGACCTGCTGTTTATTTTAAGGGTTGATAAGTCTGTAATTGACTGAGATGCAGGAACTCGTGTTTACCCTGAAGCACCCTTATCTTTCAGGCTGACGCGTTGCTGCTAAACAGGAAACAAACAGCAGGACTCAACAAGATACAGATGTTTTTTGTCAGTCAGGAGAAAATCAACAAATACTTGACTCATGCTGCTGTTAGTGTTTCTCCTGCCAGCGTCGACCAGTGGTGACATTACTCACATTCAGAGACTCAAAGTGAAGGGAACAACAGATGTCAGTAGTAATGTCCTAGAACTGGACCCAGGCAGCGCCGGGGGAAAACATTTACTCAGATACTGTACTGAACAAAAGTATAAGTACTGCATTCATACTTCAGATTTTCAGTTGTACGCCACTTTATACTGAACTACATTTGGGAGAGAAACACTACTTTTTATTCCACTACATTTATTTGACGGCTCGAGTCACTATTTACCATTTTATTAAAATGTTGTGTTTAATTCAGAAAATGCTGCATCATTATAAACCAAACTTTATGGAGTTAAATACCTCCGCCAGCTGTCACATTAAAATGCTGCACACCAAAGAGGATCGATCTGCTCAGTGAGTACTTTTACTTTTGATACTTCTTAGGTACATTTATTATACCTTTACTTAGGTAAAAGACAGAAGTCACAGCCATGGACTTTGTTTCTAAACGTGGTCCTGTTCCAGCAGCTCCAGCTTCATGCAGCTGGTTGTTGCACAGCAGCTGGAAAGTTACACCAAGCTGATGTACCTTTACCCTCCTGAACCTCTGCTGCAACAAAACTTAAGGCCAGAGGAAATCCAGCAGTTTATTTTTACTGCCGGGACTTGAAAAGAGCTTTAAGAACCGGCCACTGTTTCACTTGTCGTGGTGATCTCCCCTTCATGCCAACGTCAACAACTGCTGCTGCTTTTTAAACAAGTAGCTTCGACTGTGAGGCTGGTGGGCGCTCGTCAAACTGCTCCCTCACATGCATGTATCTGCTTTTCCTTTGTGAATTTCTGAAGCACATTATCATCCTTCTAAACAGCTGCTGGTTAATTTTCTACCAGTGAACTGACTCATGGCTACAGCTCTAGGTCACTGAATGGCTTCATGAGGACGACACAGTGGGGTTGGACACTGTGAGGGGATCTGGTTTGGAAGGAGGAGGTTTCCTCCTCCGACAGAGGAGACCTGATGCTGCTCTGGAGACTCGGCCCTGCTGGGCGCCGGGTGGCGGTTTGGCCTTTCAGATGTAACCCAGCTGTGTAACAGCTAATCTAAGAGAGCAGGCACAGTTTTAATTTGTTTAAAGTGTTAAGTGAAGGAAATAGCTACCAAGCTAAAAGATAGTCACCACAAGAAGCAGCGCTGTAAATGAAAGGTTCAATGAGAAAATATTAGTGTGAGCTGAATTAATTACTTTATGGATATTTACAGAAAATATGTTGGTCTGTGACCCACGCGTGGGGGGAAGGGGTAGGGGGGGCGCATGTTTTACATGTGCTGAGCAGCAGCGCGGTTGTAACAAATCGCTGAAGGTTGGTTATGGTCATTTAAGCAGGTTCATGAAGTGACTCTGAGGGGCCTTTGTCCAGCACACACACAGTCACGTTAAAACAGCGTCAGACTGGGTTCGTTTCACAGGAAACCAGTTAATGCACTGGTATGTCTCCTGTGTGTGTTTTCATTTCCCAGTTTCACACAGCATCATGTTTCCCTTTTAGTCTCTCATTTGAAAGATTTTTCTGATGTGATTTCTTTAGAAAACACACCCACTACATTTGCAGCGCATAAAAATATTTAAAGGTGATTTTCTACAAACCTAAACTAGAAGAGCGCAGCTGCAGCGTATACAACATATGATGGCCAATTTATTAGGTACACCGTGACAATCTAATGCAATCCAGCAAACAGCTGTGCTATAAAGTCAACGCTTTGCCCACCGTCATAAAGACGTGTATTCAGTTATGTCGTATGTATATGTTGACTCACAGTGCTGGGGTTAGTACATGATGAGATTTCACAGTATTAACAAAGATGCATGGATCTGCATGAAAACTAATCACAAAGCAGCGAGAGAAAGAAAATCCTCTTGCAGATGTTAATGACAAAACCATATACATGCATTCAAAGCACACATACAGTAGAAGCACAGGACTTCATTCACAGGTAAAGTGAAACAGTAAAAATGACATTATAGGCGTCTCTCAAACTGTTCAGCTAATCCACCTGGTTTCATCGGTGGGGATAACAGGTCTGAAGTGTTCAGGCCAAAACACAAACAGCTACCTTTTGTTTTAGACTGACAGGAGTTTTAGGAGACATATCCCTCCAAGGCCTGTGTTATATAAACGATCAAATCTGCACTTCATTTAAACCAAGCAGAAGGAATCTAGAATCAGTGTTCACTGAAGTTAAGACTGTGGACAATGCATTCTGTGCAGGTCGTTGCCAAAATGTAGAAGACACAACCAAAACCCTCGAAAACGTAAAAGCATGAATAATGTGCTCCAAATGTTTGGCTGGCCTTAACTGCAGAGATGCTCCCAACATGTGGCTGAGTGCAGGAGATGAGAGAATGTGGGCACGGAGCAGGAAAACGACAACGAGACAAACAGAGACACAAACAGAGAAAAGAGCCTTTGTGCTCTGCTCCATCAGCTGACTCACTGCTCGGACCTAAGCCAGCAATGACCACAGGCTCTGGCCGCCCGTCAGACAGCGATGAACCCCCGAGGGCCCCCTCTGCACGGACCTAAAGAAAGAGAGGTGGCTTTCATGCTGCCTGGCACTGACCCTGACTGGAAACACTTCCTAGACATGATCCTCATCCCTGTGCTGCTGCTGGTGGAGCTGGCAGCCTGCAGGGTCACACGGCCAGGCTGAGGACTCTGGGTGTTTTATTACAACCTTCTATTGGTTGAAAACACCTGGATAAGGTGCACAGCAATTCCTGCCGAGTGTTTTACGACAGGGCAGGGCTGGAATGTCCCACAGTCATCATCAGTGTTGTCACTTTCCAAACGCACACAGTGCAGGAATTTCACTCAGGGATTACAGACCAGTACACTTCACCGCTGACACGACACACAGCAGTGTGACACGTGACTGCACAAATCATGTGATCATGTGCAACCAATGTTGGCGAACATTTTTAGATACGTGTGCTCCTTGTCTGGTCCCATCAGTCTAGTTTTCTCCCACTGGCTTTGGGGGCCTCACTGGGTGAACTGGCACCAGAATGATGCAAACACTGTTTTCAGATCTCATCTTTCAAAACCATGACAACTGATTGAATTTCCTCTGACAGCTCTATGGTTATGATGTGGTTTAGGCACAAGAACAACTTTAGAAGAGTCATGTTTTGGAGTGAAATGACTACTTTATTATGGTGAGGGACCAAACTGTGGTCATGGTTAAACCAAACCATTGTTGACTGTCAGCAGCAAACAGGAAGCGAACAGTGGTCAAACATCCTGTCGATCCATCCATCAGGGTTAAACATCTTACAAACAGGTCTAGAGAAAAAACAATCATCAGTGACAGTGACATTAAACAGGACGTGATCTGAACACAAGAAGAAGAAAAACGCCACCTGTCCATTTTATCCACCGTGAGCTTCCTTTGACCAAAGTGCAGGTATTCGTCCTCCTCTTGTTTCTGCTCCAAGCTGAGGATGACAGCAACACAAACAACTGAACATTAGAATTAGGACAAAGCATCGTTTGATCTCCACCCCTGCGTGGGGAACTCACTCCAACCTCACTTTAAGGAAAACCCCAATCCAGACTGGATCAGCAGCTCTATAAAACCCCTCACACTGTCGAGAGACAAAGCTAAAGCTGAACAGGACTCGTGGTTAGGATCTGCCTAACATGGTCATTAGAAGCTGGTGAAACAGTTACACATAACCTCTTTTAAAAATGTGTTTTTCAACCAAACTTAGCACTCTCTCTCTGGTCTGCCTTGTCTAGATGCTTCTGCTGCTCTCAGACATCACACCATCAGAACCAGCCACAACAGAAACCCAACGCTGGCCTGGTCAGTGTTGCTGCGCTAAAGTAACCTCCGCCCTATGCCACCATGCTCAGTCTGCTTCTCTTCTGTCCCCCCCCCAGTCTGATCCAGTCCCAGCTCCAGCAGAGTCCGGCTGTGAGTGACCCGTCTGCTAGATCAGTATCGTCAGGATGAGGATGAGACAGCTCGGAGCACTGTGTGGCCTCATGCTGCTGACGCTGGCTGTCCTCGCTAGCGCCAGGCCAAAAGCAGGTCAGTCTGTTGACACAGGGGAACAACATGTTTCACTGCATTCTTCCTAAGTTGTGACATATGACCTTTGCCCTTTTCCCTCCTTTACAGTGTTCAGTTTGCCTTTTGTGCACTTCATCATCATCTTTGTAAAAACAGTACTGTAGATAATAAATACATAAACAACAAACCAACTCCTTGTAAGATTTAAGATGACAAATACTGGACAAGCACGTGAATCATCATTTTATGAAAAGACGTCCATATTTCATGGACAAAACAGACCAATACAGTAACGTGAGGTGAGGTTGACAGCTGGTGAGGCACAGTCAGATTTACAAATACAAATTGTCTGTTAACAGACAATGCGTTGTGTTTTATATCTCATATCAACATTCTTCACACAAACGTGACCCATATTTAATTTGAGGTTAAAATTTATTCCAGTTGAGCTTATTTCTAACTAGAAATAATAAAAGTTTATGGTCTTACCTTTACTTGTACACAAAATCCATTTGTCAGCTTGTATGTATTACAAACCCTTTTACCGTTCCCACGACCAGCCCAGCAGTGAGTCCCAGCGTCCGCAGCCTGGCCTTTCCCTCATCATTCCACCACTGACTGTTATTCACCTTCTGCGGCTTGACACCCGGTCCCACTTCAACCTGGTCATTCACTTCCTTGTAAGATATCACTGTAAATAAACCGAGCACTACTTGCACTGAAGTCAGCCACCTGGGTCCGTCCTTTTTTTGACTCGCTCACCTCTGTGTCTGAGTGGATCTAACAACCATTCACAGCCACTGTATCAGATGTTTGTAATATGGTTTCATTTCTTCCTTAGTTGAACAATCTAGGCAAAACAAAGAGGTGTACCATCAGTACCAGGAGCTTGCTTGAGTAAATGTACTTAGTTATTTTCCAAAACTACTGTGTTGTTGGTGTGGACTGTAATATAAAAAGGTGTTTCTGTGAAAAATGACCTGGGAGAACTGGGAGATCCTTTGTCAGGAGCCTTACATATATAAGCTTTAGCTGTACTTTAGTATTTTGTCAGCATTGTACAGTAGCTGAATAAACCTTTGTGAAGTTAGGCCTACATTGCACTACCTGCAGTAATTTTTACAGTGCCTTGCGAAAGTATTCGGCCCCCTTGAACTTTGCGACCTTTTGCCACATTTCAGGCTTCAAACATAAAGATATAAAACTGTAATTTTTTGTGAAGAATCAACAACAAGTGGGACACAATCATGAAGTGGAACGAAATTTATTGGATATTTCAAACTTTTTTAACAAATAAAAAACTGAATAATTGGGCGTGCAAAATTATTCAGCCCCTTTACTTTCAGTGCAGCAAACTCTCTCCAGAAGTTCAGTGAGGATCTCTGAATGATCCAATGTTGACCTAAATGACTAATGATGATAAATAGAATCCACCTGTGTGTAATCAAGTCTCCGTATAAATGCACCTGCACTGTGATAGTCTCAGAGGTCTGTTTAAAGCGCAGAGAGCATCATGAAGAACAAGGAACACACCAGGCAGGTCCGAGATACTGTTGTGGAGAAGTTTAAAGCCGGATTTGGATACAAAAAGATTTCCCAAGCTTTAAACATCCCAAGGAGCACTGTGCAAGTGATAATATTGAAATGGAAGGAGTATCAGACCACTGCAAATCTACCAAGACCTGGCCGTCCCTCTAAACTTTCAGCTCATACAAGGAGAAGACTGATCAGAGATGCAGCCAAGAGGCCCATGATCACTCTGGATGAACTGCAGAGATCTACAGCTGAGGTGGGAGACTCTGTCCATAGGACAACAATCAGTCGTATACTGCACAAATCTGGCCTTTATGGAAGAGTGGCAAGAAGAAAGCCATTTCTTAAAGATATCCATAAAAAGTGTCGTTTAAAGTTTGCCACAAGCCACCTGGGAGACGCACCAAACATGTGGAAGAAGGTGCTCTGGTCAGATGAAACCAAAATCGAACTTTTTGGCAACAATGCAAAACGTTATGTTTGGCGTAAAAGCAACACAGCTCATCACCCTGAACACACCATCCCCATTGTCAAACATGGTGGTGGCAGCATCATGTTTTGGGCCTGCTTTTCTTCAGCAGGGACCGGGAAGATGGTTAAAATTGATGGGAAGATGGATGGAGCCAAATACAGGACCATTCTGGAAGGAAACCTGATGGAGTCTGCAAAAGACCTGAGACTGGGACGGAGATTTGTCTTCCAACAAGACAATGATCCAAAACATAAAGCAAAATCTACAATGGAATGGTTCACAAATAAACATATCCAGGTGTTAGAATGGCCAAGTCAAAGTCCAGACCTGAATCCAATCGAGAATCTGTGGAAAGAACTGACAACTGCTGTTCACAAACGCTCTCCATCCAACCTCACTGAGCTCGAGCTGTTTTGCAAGGAGGCATGGGCAAAAATTTCAGTCTCTCGATGTGCAAAACTGATAGAGACATACCCCAAGTGACTTACAGCTGTAATCGCAGCAAAAGGTGGCGCTACAACGTATTAACTTAAGGGGGTTGAATAATTTTGCACGCCCAATTTTTCAGTTTTTTTATTTGTTAAAAAAGTTTGACATATCCAATAAATTTCGTTCCACTTCATGATTGTGTCCCACTTGTTGTTGATTCTTCACAAAAAATTACAGTTTTATATCTTTATGTTTGAAGCCTGAAATGTGGCAAAAGGTCGCAAAGTTCAAGGGGGCTGAATACTTTCGCAAGGCACTGTATTTTATGGTTAACTTTTTTTTCTTATCAAGATTGACAGGGGAGGCTCTGCCTCACCTGCCTCCCCTGACCGCACGTCACTGGACCAATATGTATTTACACTGTATCTGCAGCTGAAGGTCGACTTGATTTACACGTCCACACAGTGAAGTAGACAAAACACATCCACAACAATGTTTGCTTTTACTGACTCTCTCCCACCATGGCTTCAGGTAGAGAATACTGGACGTGCACTAATCAGACAGTTCTTTTCCAGCTCAAAGCTGCAAACACAAGTTCACCTCACAACTTTGTTTCTGAACCCACGTGATGTTACCAGACAACATGGCAGCATGTTCACTGCGATGCCAAACAATTAAAGACAAAAACAGGCGTTCTGTGGCTGAAGTCATGGAGAAGTGAGCTCAGGTAATAAATCATGTGAAAGTTATACTGGTATGTGAGGACGACTCCTGCTTCCGCTTTGCTCCAGAAAAATGTGAAAATGAAAACCACACACTGTCTAGTGAAGACAGAGGGACAATTGTAAGTACTCAGACACCAGTGTACATTCCCCTGTCCAGAACAGGACTGAGTCCTCAGTAGGAGACGCTGTTCACAAGTGAAGCATCACATGATTCTCACAGCTTCTCCTCAGCAGTATAATTAATTTTCAATTTTAAAAAAGGCTCAGTTACGTCCTTAAGCAGCCGGCCACTGTAGTTCTCAGCAAACATTACTCAGACAGATGGAAATGCTGCATTTGTTGTTCATAATCCACATCTGGTGAGGACCTGGGGCAGAAGAACAGTGGTTAGGTGATTATTAGCCTGTAACACACAGGTATCGTTAATAAAAATGATCAACCAAGAGTGATGCGTTGAGTTTTATATTATATATATATATATATATATATAATACCAGGATGTGTCATCACATGTCCAAAATGCCCATGTGCATTTTACCACAATGTAATGGGACGTTTAACTGAGGGAATCAACTGGCCAAACATCTTTACTGTTTACATTTTTTATGTGTGTTCTCTTCCTTTTGTCATTCAATGTCGATGACTTGTGTTTTCACATTGTCTCCAAGGTTCTGAGCAGAAATGTAAGTCTGGTCCAGTGGACCTGGTCTTCCTCATCGACAGCTCCCGCAGCGTTCGGCCATACGAGTTTGAGACCATGAGGAAGTTCATGATCGACATCCTCGACACCCTGGATATTGGGCCCAACACCACCAGGGTGGGAGTGGTCCAGTACTCCAGCCAGGTACTGTACCCGCACAGCGCCCACATCTTCAGCCATGTCGAAGTCTTACTTAGCCAATGGTGTTTGTTGTCAACCTCCTCAGTCTGTCACTCCTCCTCTTTACCTTCTATTTAAACTGTACTGATATTTTCCTTTACTGTTTGTATGGAGCACAGTGTAGCTATAAAATATACTTTAAGTAATACAGTAACTGTACAGTCGTGTCAAAATGTTCAGCTACTGCTGTTTTTATTCAGATAAAATATCTAAGAGCCGAATGTTCCCCTTGAGAAAAGCTGAAACAATGTGAAGCATTCTCTCACATTGTCAGGGTTCCTGCAAGTTCCTTGAGGTTTACTGATCAAAGTGAAGATAGTACTCCTCTCCAGTCCAGTAGTCAGTGTACCTGCTGTCTGTCAGTGCTGCCTTCCTCCTCTTTTCCCTTCAGGTCCGCAGTGAGTTCTCTCTGAAGACCCACACTAGGCTGGACAGCATGGTGAAAGGCATCAATCAGATCATCCCCCTGGCCCAGGGCACCATGACCGGACTTGCCATCAGATACATGATGAATGTAGCCTTCAGCGCCGAGGAGGGAGACAGGCCAAAGGTACTACAGGACGACCGCTGGTCTGAATGACGGACTAATGATGTGGTGAAGGGCTGCACTGCAAACAAAAGGAAATGGCTGATCTGACATCCTTCAGCTGCAGCGGTGCTAAAAAAATAAACCTGTTTTAGGAGCTGATTTTTAATGTCTCGGTGATATGACTTAAAGATTTTTCTTGTGAGAAGTTCATGCACACATGTTCGTTGGGTATCTGTGTCATTTTCCAACTGTAAGACGACTTTTCTTCCTTAGCTCAAACCTTGAGGTCTCCTCCCCTCAGGTTCCCAACGTGGCTGTGATCGTGACTGACGGACGCCCTCAGGACCGTGTGGCGGAGGTGGCAGCTGAAGCCAGACAGAAAGGCATCGAGATCTATGCTGTGGGGGTGGCCAGAGCCGACATGGCATCACTCAGGGCCATGGCATCCCTGCCCTTCGAAGACCATGTCTTCCTGGTGGAGTCGTTTGATCTCATCCAACAGTTTGGACAGCAGTTCCAGGACAAGCTCTGTGGTGAGACCGCTGGACAGCAAAAAACCTCTGATACAAACACATCTGATATGTTCATTATCGTATTTGCCAAAACACATTTTCAATCAGAAAAGGGTCCAAACAAAAGCTGGTGGTCTACAAAGGTGGCTGCCAGAACGAACGTCATCCACAACAAAGATCAAGTAACGTTTAGCTTGTGATTAACTCTGGCTCGGGTTGGACGAGTTGTATAATATCAGGGTTTATTACATTTTTCTTGTAGGAAACTACAGTTTTATGTGAGTACAGAGTGTGATATGAGCAGAAGATACACAAAACTAAAATGTTTTACTGGAAACACTTTTAGAAAGTTGCCATAACTGTTCACAGTTTACTGTTTGCTTTTATTCAAAGTCACCTCAGGATAAGACAAGTAAAAGCCTGCAACCAGGCAGCCCAGTGAATGTCTGCCCTGAATAAAAACACCTCACTGTGCTCATCTAACCCCAGAGAATTTTATACTTTTTCATAACAGCCTCCTCAAATGCTGCTATTAAACTGCTGCATTAAAATCTTTGGCGTCTCTTAGTGGGAGACGGGAAAGAAAAGAAACATGAATGAATATAAAGAAATAAATTAAGCACTCAGTTAATAAATATGACATTTAACTGCAGACAGCCGGGTTCAACTTGCTAGTGGTGCTCCACAGTCGATGATGGTGAGACCACGTCCTCCTCAGTGCGCTGGGGTCAGTGTGCCTGCAGAGAGGGCAGCGGGACATTTGTTATAAAAATATCCTTGTTAAGACTGAGAGTGAGCCTCAGGCCTACTGGAGCTGACATTACAGTTTGGATGCTGATGTTGATGCCGTGCACGCTGTAGGTGCGGACCTGTGTCTGGAGTCGGATCATGGCTGTGAGCACATCTGCGAGAGCTCTCCAGGCTCCTACCACTGCCTCTGTCTGCCTGGATACACTCTGAACGACAACGGGAAAACATGTGCAGGTAAAAACGACTAAATATATGAGTGGGTTTAATAACAATCTTATCCTTCAGAGGGTCACGGGGGACTGAAGCCAATGCCAGGAGACACTGGGTGAGAGGCAGGGTCCACCTGGAAGGGTGGCCGGTCTGTCACAGGGCTGACACACACACACACACACCTATGGGCAGTTTAGAGTCACCAGACAAACTAACCTACAGGTCTCTGGGCTGTGGGAGGAAGCCAGTGGAAACCCACACAGATAGACCTCGGGGCTGCGATTCATGCAGTGGAGAGAAAAGAGGCTTAAAAACTACAGACATCTAGAGGATACCTGCTTCCAAAAAGTACATTTTTAATTTACAATTAATGGAAGCAGTGACTCAGTAGATGTTGCTGTGTGTGTTCCAGCTGTAGATCTGTGCGCTGGGCGGAAACACGACTGTGAACAAATCTGCGTCAGCTCTCCTGGTTCCTTCACCTGTGACTGCAACAAGGGATACAAGCTGAATGACGATAAGACGACCTGCTCAAGTTAGTCAGACATACGTACACACATATACATAAAACACAGAAACTGTAATACAAACACATTTATCGTTTTTACACAAGACGTCAGAAACTTAAAAGTTACTGCTGATACTGTAGCTGTTTAGCTGAATAACGGATTCAAGCTGCTGGGTTTGCTGATTCGTCCTGCTGCTGTTTGTCACGGAAGAAAATGGTTTAAAAGGGATTGTGACAACAACCTCATCCTGAAAATAAAACCATCATCTTCCTATGACCTGTTACACCCTCTCTGTCCCTGCACAGTCAGGACGAGTGCTGGCTCTACAAGAGAAGAGTTCATTCAAAAATACTAAAAACTGGCTTTGTTTATCAGGAAAAGCCTCTGGTTAAATCTTAAATTCTTTAAGACTTGAGGTTGCAGCTTTTTGAGACTTTTAGGAAAAAGCTCTTCTGGTGTCAGATCAGGGTGATTTCTGCTTGTTGAAGGTCCGATCTGGAGAATCGAACACATTTTTTCCTGGTGTCCGCTCTGCCACTCATGGCCTTGCTGCTCTCCTCCCCTCAGTGATCGACTACTGTTCATTTGGAAACCACACCTGTGATCACGAGTGTGTGAGTGTGCTCGGTGGCTTCCTCTGCCGCTGTGACGAGGGATACAGGCTGCTGGGCGATGGCACGACCTGCCGAGGTGAGCTCTGCATACATGGGAGAAAAATGAGCATACAGTGATGGAATTTAGTTTTGCAATCGGCCCAACAGAGCCACTAACACACATGCTTGATTTAACTGGGATTAAATTTCTCTGTGAAACTACGATTTTTAAGATCATGTAGGGGGATTTGAAGAAGAATCAACAAATGTCTGTGGTCACTGCTACAGTTAACTGCCTCAAGATGGAGGCAACACTTCACTGAATCCTTCCAAAAACTGATTCAACTGTCTCCAAACAATCTCAACATGGAATAAACACTGCACATTCTCCGTCTCCATGTGAGCAAATCGATTCCAAAATGGGAATAAATTATGAATTTACACACATTACAGCAGTGGCATTCGACCGACTCAGTGCTCTTGCTTTTTCTCTTTCCATGACACTGCTGCTATTTTCAGCTGCTCCACTACATCTTTTTACTATATTCCCATCTAACTCGAACATTACTGCAAGAAAAGGTCTCACTATGAAAACCAAAAGCACAGGCAGAGCGACAGCTAAGAAAACCGAACCACTTCATTGGATTATTTCTGTTGAGTTCATTACATTGTTACTTCAGGGCAGCTTAGTGTGCTTACACTGTGGCAACACACCAGAGAAAACAAGGAAACTGAAAATCTTCATCCACTGTTTAAACTTCTTGCGACAGTGTTTCTTTGGTTTGATAGTTTGGGAGTTTAATCATTAATGCAGCAGAAAGCATGAGCATTTCATAGCTACTGGCATGAACAGTGACCACAGACTGCACATAAAGATGGCTGAGGCATCACCACTTCCCTCCACTAAGGAAAGGTGAATATGGCGACTGCCAGCTTGGTATTTTGCAACCAGAGTCATCAGAGAATCATCAAACAACTTATTAAAGACAAACTTACCAGGAAAATGACCAGTTGTACACACATGATAACATCTACCAAAAGCCACATACAGTAAGTGACCTCTGGGAAAAATTTATTTGATTTGTACTGGTTTCTTTGTTTGGTTCTGGCCCCCTCAACCAACTTGGAGGAGGTGGGATTTATGACCTGTACTGCAGCCAGCCACCAGGGGGCGATCCACTCACAGTGGCTTCACTTCTGGGAGCTGTCATGGTGTTTACATAGTCTATAACAGGACTTAGTTTGGGGATTAAACTGCTGCCAAGTGCTACAGTTGTAACAGAAATAACAGTTTATGTTTCTAAATAACTGATATTTATGAGATTTAACAGACATGTTGCCTGCTACACAAAAACAAATACAAGTTTTAGTAGTGATGATTGTTAGTGCCTCACTTTAACTGGACAGAACAAACCTTAAGCCAAGATTGGACATGAAACACTTCAATATATCAGCCGAGACATCATTTAAATGGTGCAACAACTAATGTGTCATGTATTCAGTGCCAGGCATGGTGTATGCATGAGAATGCAGGTGACCAGTGGGTTTGTACATGCCAGCTGCACATGTACTCATGCACAGACGCCTCAGAGGCAGCGACACAGCAACACCAGCATCTCAAGGTTGTGGTGACAGGAAACTGTGAGGACATTTTACAGCCCCTGGATAATCTAACACTTGTTTTGCCCATGAAGACGCACGAGTCTCCAGAGCAGCAGCAACATGACCATGCAGTGATTCTGTGTCGGTCATTTAGCCCAAACAGCACAGCGTTACACTCCTGCTGGTTCAGCTGGTTTGGAAAATAGCTGGATTAGGGTATAACTAACATCTGAATCATTTAAACGTTCTAAACAACATAATGTATATGTGAGTTGTACTGAATTAAAATATTGGGGAACTAAATAAAAATGCAAATTTAGTCAGATATTGATTAATGTTGTCATATTGTTGAGTCTATTTTAGCAGTGAAATGACTTTAATAGACACATTGGTGCAGCTCATTGACCCAGTGCATCCCATGGCCCCTTATCCAGACCTTAACCATCACAACTAATGTCTAACTTCAGCCTATCACCTAAACTAAACCTGATTCTAACCTGAACGCTAAAATCAACCTAAAACCGTTAAGGTGTGAGGACCAGACAACACGTCCTCACTCACGCTGGTTCTCACAAGTCATACAGCAACACAGACATTTTAACTCTGTCTGTGTGTGTGTGTGTGTGTGTGTGTGTTGTTTAGCCATTGACCTGTGCGCTGAGGGGAAACATGACTGTGAACAGATCTGCATCAGCGCGCCAGGCGTCTTCACCTGCGACTGCCACAAAGGATACACACTCAACGAGGATGAGAAGACCTGCACAGGTCAGTCAGACCCTCACACACAACAAACACATCTTCAGTGAAATCGCTCTCGTGCATCTACCTCACAGCTCAAGCACAATCTCTTCTCTCCCCTGGATCTTTCATATGAAGATGACAAGTGGTAGTTTGTATAGAGCAAGTTAATCAATGAAATGACTGAATTACTGTTTGACAGGCAATTAATAAAAGTCCTTTAAGTACAAACACAAATCAGCTGCTGTTTCCACATTTGCTGCTTCTGTTTCATGCCACTGTAAGTTAAACCTCTTTCTGTCTCTGGACTGGTGCTCAGGGTAAGCGAGCATGTTGAAGATGTCACTTTGGACTCAGAGACGATTTAATCTGAAAACACTGAAGAGATAAAGTCATATGAAGTTCGACAGCTAGCTGCAGCCTTTGTCAAACAGCTGTCAGGTGCACATTTCCTCCTGCTGTGTTTTCTAATGAAATCAGGGGGAAACATGATCTGGCTTCACTTGCACTTAATGCTTCTAGGCTTGTTGCACCACATATGCATAGAACCACAGAAAAACAATGAAAACAATCAGACAATGTTCCACTGTACCATTAAATTACACATAGGAAATGACTTTGTGTGTGTTTTACTTAGCCATTGACCTGTGCGCTGAAGGAAAACATGACTGTGAACAGATCTGCATCAGTGCACCAGGCGTCTTCACCTGCGACTGCAACAAAGGCTTCAAACTCAACAGGGACAAGAGGACGTGCACAAGTCAGTGAATACATCATGGGCGTCTCCTCAAATTAGCTCATGTTGTCTCAACATATTAACAATCTACTAGTTTGTTTTGCTGGTGAAGATGTTTTCAGGACAGACTGAGGAGGGGAAATAGGAAGTACATGCAAACTTTGTACAAGCCAGGTGTTCAACTAACATGTGGGATGTGCAGGAGGGGGGTTACAGGTTGAGTAAAAAGAAAAAAGAAACTTTTTTACCCAAGGATCGCTCATCTCAGGTTGAATGGAACTTAACAACAGTAACTGTGATGTCCTTCAGTAGCACAGGACCTAGGTGAATGTGTCTGTTCAGGTGTAATTTATATGTGGCACCTGTTTATGAACTGTGCATTTGCAGACATGGATCTGTGCAACACAGTGGAGCACGGCTGTGAGCACCAGTGTGTCAGCACTCCTGGATCTTACTACTGTATCTGCCCTGAGGGACAACTGCTGCAGGAGGACGGAAAGAGCTGCGGCAGTAAGTGGACTCCTGATACAGTATTCTGTGTACAAACCATGAGAGCGGCCTGGAGAGTGGCCAGTGTGGACAGCACCACCAGCAACACAGACCTCATCAGTCACAGAGAAACACAGCTTCATTAAAGAGTTTAGTTTGGAGACGTTCACCACTCAGCTGCAGACAGAGGGTCCAGTGGGATCATGGAGACATGACATGACATCTAGGGCTGACAGCAGCAGCAACCGACTGAAAAGAAAACAATCAGGAGACATAAAACAATCTGACAGTCACAATTCAAACCTGGGGCTGTGAACCCAGAGGTGTTTACTTTATAACCTGTGCTTCTGAGCTCTGATACAGCTGGTGATAAATGAAAGGCCAAACTACCTCCCAGTATAGTACTGTCTCCACATCACAGACATTTATCATCCACTCAAGTTTTACACTTTAAGAGCACTGCTCCAAATGTTAGTCAGCTGCACGCCAACCTTTATTACTCACCACTCACATGGTACCCAGAGCACCAGTCTGAACAAAGTATACACTGTACATGTCTGTCCTTGCTAGTTTAACTACAGAGCATCTGAATACTTGAGCTAAACTGACATGTGCCTACTGATACTAAATACTGTGGTAATATTGGCCTGTTTTCAAATTGAAGGATTAAATCACTCCCATAACAGCTAGAAAGCATTTTGTATTGTTTATTTATGGCTGGAAATGACATTAACAACATAAATGTGAAAGGCCTAGCTTGACAGGAGGGACTATTCCCCCAACATGAGTATTTATGTAACCCGGACACTTGCTCTCTGTGGGTATTATGAAAGGAAAACGATGCTTACAACTGAATCCATTTTCAGCCTCTCTCTCTCCTTCAGCCTGCAAGTCTGCCAACATCGACCTGGTGCTTCTGATCGACGGCTCCAAGAGTGTCCGCCCTCAGAACTTTGAGCTGGTCAAACAGTTTGTCAACCAGGTGGGTCAGCACCTCTTACAAACAACTGCAGTTTTATTTTTATTATAAGTTTTATTCAGTGTTTGTGGTTGTTGAAGTGCAATGTGTGTGGCTTGTTTATATGAGCGATAATAAATGGGACTAACAACAAGTTAATAATAATGGAAGCACATTAATACAGCACCAGTGTCACCGCCCCCTGTGCTCCAGGTAGTGGACTCTCTGGACGTGTCTGCTCATGGGACCAGAGTCGGTCTGGTCCAGTACTCCAGCCGGGTCAGGACTGAGTTTCCTCTCAACATGTACCACAGTGCTGATGAGATCAAAGCTGCAGTGATGAAGGTAAGGTTTAGTTTTCTTATAGTTATCTTAGTTTTCTGTTTTGACACCAAATTCATCATAACCTTAATAAAAATCAGACCTTTATTTTGTAACAAATATCCTTAATTCATTGTCATCACATCAGGTGTGGACTGATTTGAGCGACTGGCACTTTAAACGTTATTGCTGTTTTTGTCCAGGTTGTATACATGGAGAAAGGTACAATGACAGGCCTGGCACTAAAACACATGTTGGAGCACAGTTTTTCAGAGGCAGAGGGCGCGCGTCCTCCCAGCCGCAATATCCCCCGAGTAGGACTGGTCTTCACAGATGGACGGTCGCAGGACGGCATCACAGAGTACACCAAGAAGGCCAAAGAAGCTGGTGAGGCTCAGCTAGTGCCAGGGCCAAACCACATCTGTACTTTGCTTTTTACAGCTGACAGTGGAGTGACCATGTGGTGACATCATGCATGTCTCTGTGCATGTATGCAGGTATCACCATGTACGCTGTTGGTGTGGGAAAAGCTGTGGAAGACGAGCTTCGTGAAATAGCATCTGAGCCTGTGGAGAAACATTTCTATTACACCACGGACTTCAGTGCCATCAGCACCATCGCTGAGAACCTCAAAATCAACGTCTGCCCAGGTACAACACCCTCCAGGACCTGACTCACACCAGAACACACCACCTGTAAGGATCGTGCAACGTTAACTGCCAGGAGACACATAAAAAGACAAAACATACTTTTCATGCAAAAGCACCAGAACAGTGGCTGGTCATCTTAAAGTCTGTACAGTGGACTGGAAATTCAGTTAAAATTGAACAAAGTGTTTTCTCAATTACTGTACAGTTTAAAAAGTACCAAGGGATGAAGTGGAGCATTTCACTATTGGATAACTTTAAATCTCCACTCCACCACATTACACAGGAACAGTGTATATGATGAACATGTTGGTTCACTGCAGATAAAGATTTGGCTTTAACAACATACACTGGGCTTAAAAACTGTTCATGAATCACTGAACAAGTCTGGTGAGTGAAAAAGCAGAAATACGATGTTAATGTACAACAATGTTCAGGTGTGCGGCCCCAATCTGCTCCAGTGTGTTCACTAGTAACTCTACCGGTTCATTTACTTTTAACTCAAACATATTCCATATTTTAATTCCCTTGGTTTCAGTGTTACACATAATAAAATAATCTCAAATTGATCACATTCTTATCAATAGGTTTAGTTCAACATAAAGTCAAATTCAGGAGATGACATTCACAGAGTATGAAACCGTGTATGCTAGAAAGTCACTGCAATGACATCTTGGTCTTTGGCTCCATCTACTGGCAGAAATACAAAACATCAGTTTGACAAAAAAGCACCAAGATGCAATAACTAAATATAAAACAATAATTTAATAACACCTTTTCAAAATAAAGCCTCCACCTTGCAAAGGGCAGAAACTTACAGTTTTAATGTGTGGACATTTTAGTTTTCAGCTGGTCCATGTGGACAGGAACACAACACAACAACCATACTACTGGGCAGTTTAAACTGCAGCAATGCATCATGGGTTATGAGCTTATCATACAGACAGGTGACAACCTGAACAAATCTCTTAGGACACCGGGGGTCACTGACTGGTCTGATGAGGGTGACCGTGATGTGAACCAGACGCTGTGGCCTTCCCAGTCACCAGTGGAGCGACGTGTTAGACAGCGTCTCCACCATCATCATCAAAACACCACATGAGAGAACATCTGTTGGAAGGTGTTCATCCCTCCAGGAGAGTTCAGAGACCTGGAGAGTCAAGGTGGACCTGTTCTGGTGCACGTGGTGGCCCAGCACCTCACTGGGACTCAGTGCTGGGTCGTCCTTTAGTTTGTCACCTGTCTGTATGTTTCTCTCACAAGCAACTAACTGTATCTTCAAGACAAATGAGGTGAAGAGTAGGTGTCACAGTGTTTAATAGTTGAAGTGAAGGAGTCTTTGTGTAAATGTGATCTTCTTCTCGGTCCCTGTGCAGAGGAGAGTCAGGGGGAGATTGAGGTGAAGGACCCATGTGCCTGTGAGAGTCTGGTGGAGTTCCAACAGGCCACCATGAGCAGCCTGGATCAGTTCACACAGAAACATATCCTTTTTCTAACATCATCACCCAAACACAAGGTGCACCTATTTAGCATTCATTATCGATTCACCTGTGAACTGAATGAGTCTTTATTACTCCTTAACCAGCTGTCTACTGGCTGGGATCACTGCTCGTCTGGAGCAGCTGGAGAACCAGCTTCTGTCCAGGAAGTGATCTGACCACATCACAGAAGAAGAGTCACAGAAGGAGGAGACATGAGAAAGGTCCTTAACAGAGGAAACCAGAAAACCGACAAACCAAAGTGTGTTTTCACAGAGGCTGGGTAGTCGCTGTTAGCTCTGTCGCTATTCATCTGAAAGCTTGTGACAGAATCATATTTCTGGTACGGATGTAAATGATGTGATTTGTACACATTAGGTTTTAAAAAGTAAAAACAAAGAACTCCACCACATCGATTTTCACGGCCACACACATTCAGTTCTCCTAGTGCCCTATTTATACTTGATCTGTTTGTACGGTTTATTAAAATGATGTATTTATAGAAGTTTTTGTTTAAATCAGCAGTAGAACAGAAAACATGATAAAAGATGAAGTGTTATTTACCACTGTCAATGTTAAACTGGTTTGGGTCATTTTCATGCACATCACTGGTTTTCCCAAAGAAGCTACAGCAGCTTTAAACCACAGGCCTGACTGGAGGTGCAGTGGTGAGAACTGTGGAAGAGGAAACTGGGCCAGAAGTTCAACATAAAGGGGAGTTACAGGTACACAGTGTCACTACTGACTCAAGCTGCGGTCTGCTGGTGATAGAGGCCATGACACCGTAGGAGTCGGTAGTATTTTACTCTGAATACATGTGCCCTTATTTTCATAAACAAGAATGTGTACTTTCTACATTTTGCCTTACAAAGACCTTAACATGTCAGTGTATTAGTTTAGTCTTTAGACCTGCAGCAGGTTCTATACACAGCAGGTCTAAAACCCTCCAATATTCAACTTCACATTTGTGACAGTTACGACCATCGTGGCTGTAGACGCGTTGCCTACTGGGGCTTTCAACACATGCTAATAGGGAAACGAGAGAAAAGCATTGTCTGACCACAAAATATTCAGCTACAGTAATTGAAATGAACCTCATGTAACCTCTGTTCATGGCTGTATCATGAGCTCCGAGAAGCTTCACAGGACACTGTGAAGTCATATGAGCAGTTTTGTATAACAGCAGACGACCACATACTCCTCTATATTTGAATGTTTCTGGATGGTTTCTATAGCTTTACCTTTTTGTATTTTTTCTCTGTATTACTTCACAGAAGGCAATAAAAGAGTGAAGTTTTCACTGTGAGTGACGTGTTGCTTTATGCTATGGATTTCATGTTTTGCCTCAGAAGCCTTTATTTTTCAAGGCCTCGTGTTCATGGCTATGATCTGCACTCTCTATTAGTGGTAAACCGGTTAATCAGGCCGATTTTCTGTACAAATAATGGATTAACTGTTTGTGAGAGTGACGGCCTGGGGGAAGACACTGTCCTTGTGCCTGGTGGTCTTGGTGTCCAGTGACCTGTAGCGCCATCCAGAGGGGAGGAGCTCAAACTGTTGTCTGGTGTCCAGGGTGTGAGTCTCTCTGGACCCGACAGCCTGCTGGAGTCTGTTCCTGTACGAGATACAGCCAACATCACCTGATGTAGCTCATTAACGTGTAGATACATAGATATTTAGAAATAAATGGTTGTTAGTCAGGGTCGGCCTGCCCAGTAATTCGTGTCCACAAAGCATAGACAGACAACATCCGGTCTGAAGAGCTCCATTAGTTGCATTGTTACTGTTACGGTTTTGCGTCACACTGCTTCCCGGATTTCGGTTTCTGTTTACTTGTTCTCTCCTCGCAACTCTGTCGCCGTCAGGCACCATATCATTCACCTGCTACTCATTTCCTCCTGGTTCTGTTCCGTCACAATTAGCCATCATTTCACCCACCTGCTGCTCGTCCCTCCCGGGTCCCTCCTGTGTTTTGTTTCATTAAACTACTTTCTTTGGCTCCTACTCCTCCTGGTCTGGGGTCCACACCACGCTCACACAGCAGTGCCTCTAAACTGGAAAATTGCTTTTATTTAAATTAACATACAGTACTGGGTTCAGGCAGTGGGGGTTGCTGGTTAAAACAGCTCTGCCATACTTTTACATTACTGTATATATTTTGCACAGTAATACCAGCAAGGCCCCATCTTTCATTTGAACAACACTGTATAACATTTGTTAAGTTGCACAGAATCTCGAATACAGACACCAAAACAGCCACAGGTTTAGGAAACTACTTGGATCAGTGACTGGTGTTACCAAGCAGGTGTGCCTAGGAGAGGATGGTCAAGCTTTTAGAAACTGGGTAAGAAACGTGGTTAAAAACAGTGTGAGATCAGCTGTAAGGAAGTCAAACCCTAAACTCTTCTTTACCCATGATGTTGAACTTCTCAACAATTCAAGTCCCAAATGACAGTCATACAAACCCAAGCAACACAAATTGGTTCTCAAGTTTTGTTTTGTGAAAGAGCATAAGAGTCGTGCAGGTGTGTGAAACACTTGATAATTCCTTGTGGACTCCTGCCAGCTGTGTTTAAAGAGCCGCTCCATGGGGATCACTCACCACTGTCAAACAGGGCGTCATGACTGACAATGACCTTCAACCCATTTTCTCAGTAGACATGGTTGTTCCAGCAGTTTCCTCTCTGAACAAACATTAAGGATAGCAAAGGTTTTCCTCGTATTGATGAGTTTGTAAATTAATTGCAAATAACTGACTAAACATTGGGTAAATAAAACAAAAATTAACACTTCTCACATTCATGCACAATTCTCAAAGCCAAAATTGGAGCTGCAACTAAGGCTTATTTTCACCATCAGTAACACTGGCAAGATCAGTTTTTAAAATGTCAAAAATTTATGAAACACGACATGTCGCTGAGCCCTACGACAGGTGATGTCATGTAACGTCATGTCTGGTGCAGCCAAAGGCCGGGAACCCAAACATGTTCAAAGTGACATAAAACAAAGGAGGAAGTAAATGGTCAAAAAACAAAAACTGAAACCAGTGTCTATCAATCAAATAAATAATTAGTCCGTCCAAATATTTATCAGTGAATTTTCTGGCAATCGACTAATAAACCAGATGTTGCAGGGCCTATTTTGAATGTTTTGTCTGATCAGTGTTACAATATTCAGTTTGAAATTGGAAAAAATATGAAAGTATTCACCTTGACAAGTTAAAACAGAACATTTAAAATTTTTGAATTAATAATAGGCCAAGTATTTATGAATGATCGAAAATGTACACAGTAATATTCTGCTACCTGATTAATTGATTCACAAACTAATCAATTCAGCTATAGATAAAAAGTGGGTTTACATGATATGAAAATGTTTTGTAAGCCTGATACACTGTACTGATGAAAGCAGAGAATTAATTTGCTATAAACCTTTTTTTACAAACGTTTTCTTCTGATATGATGCAACAACTTCAAGGAAAAGTTTTAAACATCACAAACAAAGTTTGATCCAAATTTCAATTAATCACTTAGAGAGAAAGTTAATAAAAGAGCAAACAAGTGAGACAGATAAGGAGCAGGGTGACTCTCCTGGTGGGATACTGGCCAAATATACACTGTCCCAGCTGGAGGACACTTGGTAGTACCTGGTTAATGTCAGTCACTATGCTACAGCTTGTTTTTTGTTTACTAAAAAGCCATTTAGACTAAATGACCTTATTATCTTAATGACCACAGCTAATAGAGTGGAGACTAGCTGTGTTTATTCCAGAGTCTTTTAATGGCACTGATGAGAAACTCTCTCAGAAGACATATCTAATAAATCCCTGCATGCTCGGTGCTACATAACAAGCCGTCCCAGGCTGCGTGTCTGTGACCTTTACCGTCAGAGCCTAACGAGGGTTGATGTGATGGCTGCTTGCTCTGTTGTGCAGCATGGCTCACTTCCTGAACACACTGAGGATTGCTACAAATGTCAGGAGGTCCCACAAGGCCTCTCTGTGCAAAGTACAACAAAGTCTTCATTACAGTGAGTTTGCTCAAGCAATGGGTTGGTGTGACAAACAGAAGAAGTTACTTTTGTGTCATGACATCATCCAGCTGGTCAACTTGTTAAACCCAGAAAATGTTGCTGGAGTTTTGACCTCATCATTTCCCACTAACAATAGAAGGCCCAGTTGTTTTAATATTTAATGTTACATAGCCACTTAAAAGAAAAGACTACATTAAAAGAAAGCCATAAAATTGAGTCACCTGAAATCAAACTGCATTGGTTTGACTATGATCAGTGGGAGTGAAGAGTAACCAAAAACACCATGACAAAAAGTTGGTTTTCTTTATGATGTTCCCATAAATTTGGTATTAAAAATCAATGACTATGATGTTTACTGAAGAAAACATGCTGCAATAAGAAATAAACATCCTGTTGCCTGGTTCCAAAACTATGTACAGTAGTCGTGATGCTGTTACAGCTTAACCATTTCTGTGCTGCAAAGTTCTATTACTTATAGTTCAACCTACAGTATATGTTCATAGAATTAATTTTTTTTTTCGTTAGTGCAAAGAGACAAAACAGGGGAGGACAAAGAAAAACTGTTTAAATGGACATGACGTGAACAAAGAAAGGAGAAGATAATTAAAGTAACAATTAGAAGTACAGGTAGTAATAAATAAATACAAACACCAATTACTCAAATTAAACTAAACTATGCACCTTAAGTATCATATAAAGTCCAATTAAACATTCCTATACTTTGAGCTTCAGATCAGCCTTCTGTGTAAACTGTATCAACCACAGAACGCATTTGTGATATCAGCCAAAAAAAAAATCACCCTGGCCTACTCATCAGTTGTCTTGAACAGCGTTCTTCCAACAGATATTGTCATGTGATGTTTTGATGATAATGGTGGAGATGCTGTTTCTCCAACATCTCCCATAGCTGTTTACCTGGACTGAGACCTGGTGACTGTGGAGGCCATAGCATCTGATTCGCATCATGATCATGGCCTCATCACAGGCCACGAGGGGTCACCAGTCAGTGACCCCTCGTGAATCATCCACTCTCATCAGGAGAGAAATGGTTCATCACAGGATAGAGGTGATACAAGCTGTACTGGTCTGCAGTGGCCCTTCCCTTGAAGGCCCATGACACACCAAACAGATGGTCGGTCAGAGGCTGCTGGTTGAGTCTGTTGCCCTCATCTTTGCGGTGTGTCTTAAATCATTTTCACTGTCAGCGGCTTTTCAGTCAGTTCAGCATGTTGGATGTTTGGCAGACTCTGCTGGTGAGAGACCACTCTGATTGGTTGTTAAGAAATCAATGTAGAAGAAGAGAATGGTTCAGGAAAGAAAAAACATTCCTCTGTATAATTTGCTTGTGTTACTGTAGATACATCTGCTACAAACAATGTTAGACATACTGTATGTATGGATATCGCTAAAATGTAAACCTCTATTTGACATTGTGTTGCTGCAATGCCACTAAAAACCACAGGCTCTGTGGGCTCTGTATCCCCTATACATTAATTCTGGAGCCGGTAGTTCTGCTGCACTACCTGACTGCCACAGCTTGCTCCAGCTGTCGTAACCACATATGGCATAGTTTCAGAGACAGGGCAGGAGAGGTGAAGAGGAGCAGAGGGAGAAGAGAAGGGTATACTGCTGGAATTTGTTTTGATTCTCACTTTGCCCTTAACTGTCACAAATTAGAGGGAGAGGTTGGTTAATACAGGTTTAACAAGACTAACACCTAATTTCCACCTGATCCAACTGTGTTGCATTTTGTCTGTGAGGCAATTACCACAGCTGATTGCTGCCACTCTGGACAATAGTTGTGACCCCACCAGGTCTGGCGGTGTTCTGTCTTTGATCTGTCCCTCATGCGGCTCTGTTGTCAGATCTGCTAAATATATGCAAGTATATTTTGGACAGATGCCACATCTAATAATAAGATAGCAGTTTCCTTGTATGTGAAACATAGATATGAAATGAATAGGATGAATGTGCTGTTAACAATTGAAACACAGCCACAAATCTTTGATCCATGTTTCACGACAACTGTAACCATTAAATGTGTAGTTTTTGTCTGTAGGCTCAAGACAAAGAATATTAACAGACAAATAGATACATGATTGGTCAATACAGCTCCTTTGCTGGA